TGATCCGAAGCCAGGAGCCAGGTGCTTCCTCCTGGTCTCCCATGCGGGTGCAGGGCCCAAGCACTTGGGCCATCCTCCACTGCCCTCCCAGGCCACAGCAGAGAGCTGGACTGGAAGGGGGCAACCTGGACTAGAACCCAGTGTGCCAGCGCCACAGGCAGAGAATTAGCCTAGTGAGCCGCGGCGCCGGCCTTGTTAATTATTTTTTAAAAAGAAAGTCTTTTTCCCTCTTTCTTCCCCTGTAAAATGGGAAAGGCAGACTGTCCCAGTTATTTGTCAGTTCTTTGACCAGAGGAAGCCTTCTGTCAAACCAAGTCTTAAGCAGCATCCCATGTAAAACAGATAAACGTGGCATTTGGCCAGAATGTTTTTAAGGGGATGTTCCGTCATCATAGCATGGGAGTGTTCACAAGTCAGGAAGGAGGCAGCTTTTAGGAGGCAGGGGAGAACTGTGATTGGGGCAGGACAATGGAGCAGCTGCAGAACCCCGTGTCTTGACTTGGATGATGATTATGTGTGGGTTTTCCTTAGAATTAGCCAGTAAGTTATAAAAATAGTACCGTGCTAATGCCTCATAAAGTCATTCACGAGCTGTCGCTGTGGCACAGCAGGTTAAAGCCCCGGCCTACAATGCCAGCATCCCATATGGGTGCTGGTTCAAGACCCAGCTGCTCCACTTCTGATCCAGCTCTCTGCTATGGCTTGGGAAGGCAGTAGAAGATGGCCCAAGTCCTTGGTCCCCTTCACCCATGTGGGAGACCTGGATGAAGCTCCTGGCTCCTGACTTTGGATCAGCTCAGCTCTGGCCATTGTGGTCATTTCGGGAGTGAACCCGCAGATGGAAGACCTCTCTCTCTCTCTCTCTCTCTCTCTCTGGCTCTACTTCTCTCTGTATATCTTTTAAATAAATAAATAAATTTAAAAAGTCAATCATTGAGGAACACAAACATGTCCGTTGGGTTTGGCACAAAATGACAAAAACCCCAAATATTAGGGTACTGCAAAAAGCTTGTAGGAGAATGGAATTAAAAGATTAAGTTTATTTTGGCACAAAATTTGAAAAAAATCTGTGCGAAGTTTTTTCATAATATACATTTTTCATGTATATTTCAACTGGATTTCAATTTTTTTTGCTACAAACATCTCTTTTTAAAAAAATTATTTATTTATTTATAAGTCAAAATTACAGTGAGAGAAGGAAAAACAGAGATCTTCCATCTGCTGTTTCACTCCCCCCTTGGCTGCAATGGCTTGGGCTGGGCCAGGCTGAAGCCAGGAGCCAGGAGCTTCTTCCAGGTCTCTCATGTGAGTTCAGGGGCCCAAGCACTTGGGACATCTCCATTGCTTTCCCAGGCACATTAGCAGGGACCTGGACTGGAAGTGGAGCAGCTGGGACTGGAGCCGACACCCATATGGAATGCCAGCAGCTTAACCTGCTGCACCAAAGCATTGCCCCCAAAATAAGCTTATCTTTAAAAAAAAAAAAGTCTTGTATTTATGATTTGAGAGGCAGACAGACAGGCAGGGAGCTCCCATTTGCTAGTTCATTGTGCAAAGCCCAGAAGCACCAGGGCTAGGCTGGGTTGAAACTGGGAACTGGGAACCCAATCCAGGTCTCCCATGTGGGTGGCAGGAACCCAATGACTTGAGCTGTCACCACTACCTCCAGAGTCCACATCAGTAAGAAACTGGACTCAGGAGTCAGAGAGGGGCATGAACCCTGGTACTCTGCTATGAAACATGGACATCCTAACTCGTGCCTTAACTGCTTGGCTAAATGCCTGTGCCAAACTTATCTTTTAATTACATTTTCCATGAACTTTCTGAAGTACTATTGCAGAGTCGCCTACATAAGACGAAAGTCTATATCTCTTTATGTAAATGAATTCTGCAGGTAGGCATTCCAGGGCACTTAGCTTAAGCAAGTAAGTAAAGGTGACTCAACGATACCCAGCACCCAAGTCTCTTTCACCCTGTGTCCGTCATCCCAGATGTGATGTTTCCAACTGAAAGCCCGAGTCGGCTCCTTGAGTTCTACCGCTGTGGCCGTATTAGAGCACAGGAAGAGGGATGAGAAGAGTGTGCTCCCTGTCTTCTAAAGAAGCCCCCAGAAGTCACACCCACAGCTTCCTCTTACATCCCATTAACCAAAACTTGACTGCATGGCCTTACCTAGCCATAAGGAAGTGTAGAAAACAGTCTTTAACCTGCAGTTTCCACAGCCAGGGAGAAAAGGAAAGGGTAGATTTAGGGGACAGCCCGCAGACTGTGCCACAGCGGCTTGGTGGATTTTGGCCTCTGATCTGTTGCAACATGAACTGTGGCTAATGTAGGCATCTTCGCTGTTTCTCAGTCACAATTTTAAACACAGCTGCAGGTATGCAACGTGAGATGAATGTTCATAGTTTTTTTTTTTTTTTAATTTATCTATTTGAAAATTAGAGTTACACAGATAGAGAAGGAAAGGCAGAAAGAGAGAGATCTTCCATTCCACTGGTTCACTCTCCAATTGGCCACAACGGCTGGAGCTGCACTGATCTGAAGCCAGGAGACAGGTGTTTCTTCCAGGTCTCCCACGTGGGTGCAGGGGCCCAAGGACTTGGGCCATCTTCCACTGCTTTCCCAGGCCATAGCAGGGAACTGGATAAGAAATGGAACAGCCAGGACTTGAACCGGTGCTCATATAGGATGCCAGCACTGTTAGGCAGTGGATTCACCCACTGTGCCACAGCATCAGCACTAATAGTTTTTGAAACTACAGAAATACTCACAGAATGTGACCCAGGAACTCCCTAAGAGCTTGTGCAGCTTTGCCATTCTAGAATTCTGTGGAGCTCCTGCCCCTGCTCATGAGCTTACTGAGGGCTTCCTCTCTCTCTGGAGACTGGCAGGGCCTTCTAGTTGCCTTTAGAACTAAGAACGGTGCTCATTGTTGGAGTCAGCACAGCCCCAGCCAAGTACCTTGAAAACTCTCTGTCATCAGCCTCCTCTTCCCTCTGGGCCTGGGAGTTCCCCCAAGGAGGTGTAGTTTATGGAGGCCTTGAAAACTCAGGGTTTCCAAGCAGCGCCTGCTTCTTAGCAGGGAGTGGCTCAGATGTTCCTTCCAGAGTCACAGAAATCCTCACGGGAGAAAGGTCGTGCTGCCCTTGACCCAGAGAGGCTGGGAGGTTTACTTGAAGTGCCCAGCAACCTAGAGCAGGGTGGAGCCTGGTACTGCTTGTCTGATGCTTTCCAAGGCATCATCATTGGGTGAATTTAAAACACTGGCTATGCGCCAGGCTCTGTACCTGCATTATTTCGTTGAATTCTGTTAACCATGAGATACTTTCTTCCTCGAGTTTGTCATTTTTTTTAAAGATTTATTTATTATTTAAAAATCAGAGTTACAGATAGGGAAAGATGTGGTGGCGGGGGAGATCCTTCATCTCCCTAGATGGCTGCAATGGCTAGGGCTGGGCCAGACCAGAGCCAGGGGCATCTTTTAGGCTCCCATATAGGTGGCAGGGGCCCAAACACTTGAACCATCTTCTGTTGCTTTTCCCAGACCATTAGCAGGGAGCTAGATGGGAACTGGAGCAACTGGGATATGAACCAGCACCCAACTGGGATGCCGGCATTGCAAGTGGCAGCTTTACCTACTGTACCACAATGCCAGCCCCTCGTTTGTCATTTTGTAGGTAAGGAAACTGCCATCCAGATAAGTAAGTTGTCCAAGAACACATTGTTATTTGGAGTGGACCGTAGCTTGTATTCACACAGCACACTGGCAGAGCCTGTACTTTGACTTCTGTGCTGAGAGCAAATGCCTACCTGTGTGAGGAAGACGCTGCCTTGCACTGCTTTGTCTAGATGTCACACCCTTTGTCCCGATTTCATGACCCTCATCAATCTGTAGAAGCCTGGTTTAGTACCCTGGCCCTGAGGTGTATCAATCTGTAGGAGCCTGGTTTAGTACCCTGGCCCTGAGGTGTATCAACCTGTAGGAGCCTGGTTTAGTACCCTGGCCCTGAGGGGTAGATATAAAACTTTGCGCTGGTGCAGAAGCTGGACCTGCAGACAAGGTGTGCGTGGGTGGTACTGATATTTGCAAGAGCATTGACTCAGTCTGTCTGCTTATGGCCATCCAGCAGCACTATAGACTGATCCAGCGGAAATCTGCAAAGGTGCTGACCCTGCATAGGTGAGAACCTTGAAATGCTGTAGCTGGACTGGAGCAAGGCACTCCCTTAGGGATACAGGTGTCTCAAGCAGCTACCTAACCCCGTGCCAAATGCTCACACCATTCCAATTAATTTTTTCAACCTCTTTTTTTTTTTTAAAGATTTATTTATTTGTTTGAAAGTCTGAGTTACACAGAGAGAGTAGAGGCAGAGAGAGAGAGAGAGAGAGAGAGAGAGAGAGAGAGAGATCTTCCATCTGCTGGTTCACTCCTCAGTTGGCTGCAATGGCCAGAGCTGCGCCGCTTCAAAGCCAGGAGCCAGGAGCTAGGAGCTTCCTCTGGGTCTCCCACGTGGGTGCAGGGGCCCAAGGCCTTGGGCCATCTTCTACTACTTTCCTAAGCCATAGCAGAGAGGTAGATCAGAAGTGGAGCAGCTGGGTCTTGAACCAGCGCTGATATGGGATGCCGGCACTTGAGGCCAGGGCGTTAACCTGCTGCACTATAGTGCCGGCCCCATTTTTCAACCTTTTTAAAAGAATTATAGATTTTGCAACAATCATAAGCTGCATAAGAAGTTGAAAAGATAGTAAAACACACAGTTCCTATAAACCTCTTTTTCCTCAGTGGGTTTCATTTTACACAGTTCCTTCCTGGCTAATTCTTACTCGAGCCTATGAGTTAGTATGATCGTCACTGTTTGACTTATAAGCAAACTGAGTCCCAGAGAAATGAAACACATTGCTCAAGGCCCCCAGCAATTTGGCGCTGAGTCGGACTTAAATCCAGATCCTCCTGATTCCAGTGTTTGCTCCCGCTCCCATGAATTCTTTTTCTTCCCCAGTCCCCTCCCTGGCCCTGCACCGGGAAAGAGGAAAAGTCCTGAGAGGCCCAGCTCTGCAAAGAAAGCAGCTCTCCACAAGCCCCAGAGGCAGAAGGGCCCAATACCGTCTGCTCAGCTTGGAGGAGCCTCCCCACATAACTTGGCCACCGAGTCAGCAAAATGATTTGTGTGACCCAGACGGCAGCCCAGACACAGCGCCGCTCCTTTCTGAAGCCAGCAAACCTTCTGCACGCCCACGTTCCCCTCCGCCCGCCGTGACTCTCCTGCCCATTCTCAGGGGGACAGTGGCTGCCCTCTTGGTCTCATAGAGGGGAGAAGAAGCTCTACGGCTGCTGACTTCACGAGAGGTCCCCTCACAGTCAGAGAGTGGACTTCTGCGAAAGTGACAGAAAACCCAGCCCCAGCCAGTGTAAGCAAAAGGGGATTTACGGGCTCATGCAGAGGAAACGCGCAGAAGTAGGGCTGTGTATCACATGTACCACAAAAACCCGGTTGCAGCTCTTTCAGTCTCCCTCTGCAAGCAGTGTGGCCCCCGCGATGTGTGACGGGCTGAGATCCCATCAGACAGCCTTGCTTTAAGGAGCGCATTCCCCTGGACACTGCTTCGTCCCAAGTCTGCCAGCCAAGGAGGAGGAAGAGGGGAAGAGGGCAAAGTCTCCCTCCTTTCAGAGCTTTCCCAGAAGAGCCACACACTGATTTCTGCTTAGAAATCACTGGGGAAACCACGTCACATGGCCTCCATGCCTTGTGAGGGGGGAAGCTGAGTATTTGGGGCTGGACGTGGAACTCCCTGAGCAGAACCAGGTCTGCTGATATGGGCAGACCAGAATGTAAACAGCAGTGTCTGCTCCAGGGGCCCAGGCCACAGTTCCAGGGCCGGTTTCTCTGGTGCTCTCTGTCTCTCTCTGTCTCTCTTGCTCTCGCTTTCACTCTCTCTCTGTCTCACTTTGCTTCTCTTGCTCTCTCTCTCTCTCTCTCTCTCTCACACACACACACACACACACATGCATGCACTCCTTTCTTGTCTTTATTTATTTATTTTGACAGATAGAGATAGACAGTGAGAGAGAAAGGTCTTCCTTCGATTGGTTCACCCCACAAATGGCCGCCACCGCCAGCGCTGCACCAATCTGAAGCCAGGAGCCAGATGCTTCCTCCTGGTCTCCCATGTGGGTGCAGGTGCCCAAGCACTTGGGCCATCCTCCACTGCCTTCCCGGGCCACAGCAGAGAGCTGGACTGGAAGTGGAGCAACCAGGACTAGAACCCGGCGCCCATACGGGATGCCAGCGCCGCAGGCAGAGGATTAGCCAAGTGAGCCACGGCACTGGCCCCCTCTCTTGTCTTTATTGTTCAGTCTTATGCCCATCTCTTTCTTTGTCTCTGTCTCTCTGTCTCTCTGTGTCTCTCGCTCTGTCTCACTCTTTGTCTCGCATGCTCTCTCTCTTTCTCTCTCACACACACATGCACGAGCATGCACTCCTGTCTTGTCTTTATTTCTAGTCTTATGCCTGTCTCTTTCTTTGTCTTTTCTCTGTCCTCTCTGTCTCTGTGAGCGTCTCTTCCTGTCTCTTGCTTTCTCTTCACTCTGCCCTTCTGCATCGTGGCTTCATGTCCATGTAACCTCCCCTGTGGTCTTCAGAAGGCTGCTGCTTCTCTGATCTTGCATCATTCCTACTCGGGCTGGGAGGAACCAGCCAGATTGTCTGTTGCAGCTGCAACATTCCATCCCATGTCCATGCTGGGAGAGTTACTGTGGCCCCAGGGAACGGGATGGACTAGCCTGGTCACTTGTGCTTTTTCTGAGCAGGTCTGAGGGTGCAGATCAGGATGTTGCCCAAGAAGAAAATCAGAGCATGATTCTCAAAAAAAACAAAAATGGTGCTGGTGGTCCCAAATCAGACCAGACGAATCATAAACCAGTGTCTACTGCTGAATCTTAAGCAGGATCATGCTCAAAGGCTTCTAAATCACTGAAGATCAACTAGATCTTCCCAAATATTGGATTATAGTGTCATGTTTTAGGGGTGGGCCTTGTGGCATTACCAGCTAAGCCACTTCTTTTGACACCCACATTCCTTATCAGAGCGCTGGTTCAAGTCCCTGCTGCTTTGCTTTCCACTCAGCTCCCTGCTAATGCCTCTGGGGAAGGCAGCAGATGATAGCTCAACTGCTTGGGCCCCTGCCATCCGTATGGGAGACCCAGATGGAGTTCCCAGCTCCTGGCTTCGGCCTGGCCCCCATCTAGCTATCACAGCCATTTGGGAAGTGAACCAGCGGACTGAAGATCTATCACTCTCTCTCTCTGTCTCTGCTTCTCTGTATGTCACTCTGCTTTTCGAGTAAATAAATAAATATAAAAACAATATGTTTTAAATATATATAGATACATTTACATACATTTAAAGTAAGTTTTAAAACGTAAAATAGTATTTTTAAAACATTAAAATTGGTAAAACACTACTTGTAACTAGTTTTACAATGGGATTTGTATATACATTCACTTGCATTCGGAGCTGTATTCCTAGGGTGTGACCAAGGTCCCAGGCTAGTACCTATCACTTCATTGTTAAGTGTTTTGAGTTTGAATGTCTTTAGATAGGGTAGCTACTCTCCAGCTCCCTGTGCTCATCCTTGGGTATGAAACTGGGCTACTTCACCAAATCCTAACACCTGGCTGTGGTTGTTTAGTGCAGTGCTTGGGACCACTTGGGGTGTCTGCATCCCATACTGGAGTGCCTGAAATCAGGCTCTGAGTCTACAGACCCCGGCTACCTGCTAATGTGCGCCCTAGGAGGAAGCTTAAGTACTTAGGTCCTAGCTGCCTAAATGGGAAACCCAAATGAGTTCCTGGCTCTGTGCTTTGGCCTGACCCAGCCTCAGCTGTTTATGGACATTTGGAGAATGAACCAGTGCTGTTCTCTGTACCTTTCACTCTGACTCTCTGCCTTTCAATACATAAACATAAAATAAATAAACATTTTTAAAATATTTACATCTTCCTTGGATCAGGCAGTATTCATTAAAATTGCGGGAGAAAAACCAAGGGTGGGCAAGTGCTCGTACGGAGAATAACCACTGAAGTATGAATCAAGCCTGAGTTGCGTGAAGGATTTTGGTGGAAGCTGAGGACAGGTGATGGAATGTTTTGGAAGTGAGCTGAGATTCTGGTTTTGACCACAAAGGAGATGGGAAGCCACTAAATGTTGTATTTTCAGGGAGATTCTAGGGAGTGCCTCTTTGAAACCAAGGATAAAACAATTTGTTCTGGAGAATGAGTACAGGTTAAAACGAGGCAGACAAGGATGGCCTTGCTTGGTCCTGATGGCGAGAAGGGCTGAGTGTGCCTGCCAAAAGAGTTTGGGAAAGTCTTTAAGAGAAACAAGGGTCAACTCCATCCAGCATCTGGGCTCTGGTTTTCATGGCTGTTCATACTCTAAATGAAGGTCATAAATAAAATTTGGATTCTTGGGGCTTCTAAGCAAAGCTGCTAGGGCCGTTGAACTCTGAGAATGACTCATGGGCCGTGTGGTAAATGACCGGAGCCAAGGTTAAGTTTGCTGTGTTTGATGGGAAGGATGAAAGCAGTGCCAGAGGTGATCAGCAAGGTCACTCTCGGGGGAGCCTGGGAAAGCTAGGAAGTGGCGTCCTGAGTCTGGTAAGCTGATTGAGCAGATAAGAGGTGATGAAATACCTGCTGTTTCTTGAGCACCCATGTGGGAGACCTGGGTGAAAGCTCCTGGCTCCTGGCTTTGGCCTGACCCAGTGCTGGCTGTTTCAGCAGTCTGGGAAGTGAACCAGCAGATGGAAGATCCCTCTCTCTGTGTCTCTCTCACAGTCTCTCTCCGTAATTCTGCCTTTCAAAATAAAAAAAAATAAAATGCTAAAAAAATTTTATTAATTGTATTTATTTGAGGGAAAGTAAGAGAGAGAGAGAGAGAGAGAGAGATCGAGATCCCATCCACTGGTTTTCTACCCAATACCCATAGCTAAGGATGAACTAGTCTGAAGCTAGGAGCTGGGAACCCAGTCCAGGTCTCCAGGTGGGTGGCAGGGACTCAAGTACTTGAGCCATCACCTGCTACATCCCAGGGTGCACATTAGCAACAAGCTGGAACAAGGAGTGGGACTAGGACTCACAAGCAAACACTCCTATATGAGATGTGGACGTCCCAAGCCATGTCTTTACTACCATGCCAAACACCCACCCCACGGGACTTATTTATATGTCAGGCATTGGGCTAAATATTTTACATAAATTCTCTGTCCCTGAATTTTCTCACTGCTCTATGTGGATAGGTGCTCTAATCCCATTCTGTGGGGGTGGGAGGTGAAATCAAGAGACATTAAAACAGTTTTTTTTTTTTGACTGATTTCTACCTATGGATGAGTTGAAAAGTACAACTGGAATTTTTAAATGTTATTTTCCTCCTGCTTACAGTGAGTCAGAAAGTCACGGCCCGGTGCATTTTAGCCTCAGTCCATTGCTCCTTCCTCACCGGGGTCTTCCCCCTGCAGGAGCACCTCTCCCAGGCTTGCACCTGTGTGTGAGAAGAATGGCTGTGCCCACCACTGCTTCAGGGACAGGAACGTCCCACAGCCTGGCCAATCCACACATTGTGTTCTCGGGTCAGGGAGACAGCAGCTGTTCTGCCAGCTGCTCTAAAACACAGATGGTCTGGGGAGGAAGGGTCAGGACCGTGGAGCAGGCAGGAGGCCAGGGAGAACACAGCTTTTGAAACCCACCACTAGCCCAGTAACACATTCTGTTGTAAGTGGTGACAGCTGGACCATAAGCTCTGTGAACTCGGGGACTGTCCCGCTGCATCCTAGCACAAACTGTAGTGTTCACGGAAATGCAAAGTAAGGAGCCTTCCAGTGAGAACACAACTGAGTGAGAACGAGATTCCTCGTCTCTCTCTCCCAGTCCTGGGCTCACTGTACAATTCCAGACTTCCCCAGGGTAGGATGCTTACATTTTCTGCTGGGAAGTTTATATTGGCACGAATAACACATCCCACGTGAATGATCTTCTTGTCATGTCTTTCCCAAGCCTTCTGATTACATCAAGGAGAAAGTCAGTCTGGAGCTAGTGAATTGCTAACTACTACTATTACCACCACCACCACTACTGCTACTTTTCCTCCTTCCTTCCCTTCCTTTCCTTCCTTCCTCCCTCCTTCCTTCCCTCCCTCCTTCCCTCCCTCCCTCCCTCCCTTCCTCTTCCTTCCTCTTTGCCTCCTCCCCACCTCCTTCTTCTCCCTTTTTTTCTTCTTTTTAAGATCTATTAATTTTATTTGAAAGGCAGAGTTACAGAGAGAGGGAGAGACAGAGAAAAAGAGAGATCTTCTGCCCACTGATTAACCCCAAATGGCCACAACATGCAGGACTATGCCGGGTAGAAACCAGGAACCTGGAATTCCACCCAAATCTCCCACATAGGTGGCAGGGCCCAAGTACTTGGGCCGTGTTCTGCTTCTTTCCCAGGTGCATTAGCAGGGAGCCTGATTGGAAGTGGAGCAGCCAGGACTTGAACCGAACCAGTGTTCATCTGGGATGCTGGTGCTGCAGGCAGTGAGTTAATCTGCTGTGCCACAGTGCCAGCACTTACACTTCATTCTTGTGTCTCCCTTAATCTATTAGAGTTCCTCCCTGCCCCTCACCGTCTTTTGTCATGCCATTTACTTATTGAAGAAACTGTTATTTGTCTTGCAGAATTTCCCATATTCTGGTTTGGTTAATTTAATTTTTCTGGCGTTTTAAACATATTCAGATTCAGGTTAACTTATTTTGTCATGATTAGTTCTTAGATTATGGTATGTACGTAAAAAACAAAGTCTAGGGATGGACGTTGAGGTTCAGCAGTTTAAGCACAGCTTCTGAAATCCCATATTGGTGTGCTGGTTTGAATCCTGGCTGCTCTGCTTCCAATCCAGCTTCTGGCTAATGTACCTAGGAGTGCAGCAGATGATGGCTCAAGTACTTAGGCTCCTGCCATCCATGTAACAGACCCAGATGGAATTCTAGGATCCTAGCTTCAACCTGGCGCCACCCTGGCTGTTATGGTTCACTTTTAGGGAGTGAACCAGTGGATGGAAAATATCTTTCTCTTTCTCTGTCTCTGTCTCTGTGTAACTTTACCATTCAAACAAACAAACAAACAAATAAATAATTTTATTTGAGAAGCAGAAAGACACACACAAAGAGCTTCCATCTGCTGGTTCACTTCCGAATTGCCTGCAACAGTCCAGATTGAGCCAGGAGCTAGGAACTCAATCTAGGTCTTCAATGTGGGTGTAGAAGCCCAAATTACTTGGGCCATCACCACTGCCTCCCAGGATCTACCTTAGTGGGAAGCTGGAGTCAGGAGCCAGAGCTGAAACTATGATATGGAATGAGGACATCTTAATTGCTACTCCCATAATTAAACTCCCATAATTAAAACTTAATAGCATAATGTTCGTATCATTGTTCATTACTTCCTACTTAAGATTATTATATCAAGAAGCTTTCTGGCAGCAAACAGATGGCACTTTCAAAGTGAATAACCTGAGAATTTAATCAAGGAGCTGTTTATAAAGATGTATGCCTGTGTGGGTCAACCACGGGAATGGTTCCATCCCTAAGGCTGCTCACTGGAGGCAAGGGAGACTGGGCTCTAGAACCAGAGGGAGCTGGGCCTTGGACAGCACAGCCAGCCTGTTATAATCCCCTAGGGGAGGAATGGGGGAATAAATACTCCAGCTTTGCTCTCTCCTTCCTATCTCCCACCGATGCTGTCTCCTGGCCAGAACTCAATGGAAACAGAGCCCACAGGAGCACAGGGATGTGGGCCCTGCAGTCAGCCCTGGCCCTGGGGCAGATGGGGAGGTGTGGCCAGGACATGTGAAGGACAAACACACCTGGTATAGCAAGTGACACTTGTGTTTTCACTCATGAAGTGGTGAGTTTTCCTTTAAATTAAACCTATGTAGGGTTGACAAAGTGAGTTGAAATGAAGCCAATAGGAGGGGATCTCAAAAAGTTCATGAATAGGTATCATGAATGATCCATGCATGGATGATTTCACCTTTTTTACACCAAGTAAACTTTTTTTTAAAAGATTTTTGTTTGAAAGTCAGAGTTACACACATGGAGAGAGAGAGAGAGAGAGAGAGAGAGAGAGAGAGGTCTTCCATCCACTGGTTTACTCCCCAGTTGGCTGCAACAGCCAGAGCTGTGCTGATCCGAAGCCAGGAGCCAGGAGCTTCTTTCAGGTCTCCCACACGGGTACAGGGGCTCAAGGAAATGGTCCATCCCCCACTGCTTTCCCATGCCATAGCAGAGAGCTGGATCAGAAGTGGAGCAGCCAGGACTTGAACTGGCACCCATATGGGAAGCCTGCACTACAGGTGGTGGCTTTACCCGCTATGCCACAGCGCCGGCCCCCAAAGTAAAAATTTTAAAAAACATTTTATTTCTTTTCTTTTTATTTGAAAGGCAGAGAGACACAGGCAGCGACAAACAGAGAAGGATCTTCCATTCACTGGTTCACTCCCTCCGATGCCCACAAAGCCAGGGCTGAGCCCTGCTGAGCCAGGAGCTGGGAACTCAAACTGAGTCTGTCCCCTTGTGTTTTGGATAATGGCGTCTCCTGGCTGCCTTTGTCCTGGGCTTTCAGTAGTCTCAAAGAAGCATCAGGGAAATGACGTGTTCAGTTGGAGAGCGCTGCAGAGGCCCTGGAGGTCACCAGGTGAAGGGGCTTGAGAGCCCCGGAAATGGCTCCTTCCTTTCCAGGGCTGCCCTGTTCCCCACCCCAGCCCCACCCCTCGGCTGCCCTCCCAGCAAGCCCAGGGCCCGCTTTCTTATTCCTTGGCCAACTGAGCAGCCCAGGGAGGCTGGATACTGCCTGCCTTTGGGACCAAGACTCTGGGCTGGAAATTGGGTAAGGACGTGAAGGGGCATGAGGTCCCGGATCTGGATTCGGTCCAAGCCTCACCTGGCCCTCCCCAGCCA